TCCTCTCTTTCTCTTTCTTTCTTGGTTCTCTCTCTCTATTCTCTCTCCTTTTTCTCTTCTCTTTCTGTCTTTCTTCTCTCTCAATTCTTTCTTTTTCAATGCTTTCCTGGATCTTAGCACTAATGAAAGCTTCTAAATTTTTCCCCGTTATTCCTAACTTACTCCCAGCGTTCATCCAAAACTGGTATTCCTCCATACTTGCAAGAATAACTTAAACTACCAAGAGAAAATGAAATGGGTATCAAAGAAAACGGAGGGTTCAATTCCTGCTCCGCTCAAACTTTAAATAAATCGGAGGGTTCGATCCCTGGTTCGATTAAACAGTATGTATGAAAGAAAACGGAGGGTTCTATGCCGGCTCCGACCAAACAGTAAGTTGAATGGGGTCACTTGACCATCCACTCTTCTCGCCAACAAATCAAGAGTGTCCTACAACAGTTCCCTTGATATAATAAATAGAGCTCAATGAAACAACTTGTCACTGGAAAATCTCGGGTCCCTAGAGTCTATTCCTCCAAATCGTTTCAAGCTCAAAAATAAAGGTGGCAGAATTAACTAGTATGTCCTGCCTTGACTTGGCTTACAATAAATTGAGACTAACAATCACCAAATCTTTTAAATACCTGTACTGTAGTCCTACCTGTAGAGAATGATTACTCATGGCTGGTGGTAACCGTCTGTGGTATGCGGCATTGAAGTTCCAATGGTAGATTCGAGATGGAGTCGAATCTTGATTCGATCGAGTGATCCTGGCAAGGTTGCCACTTGTGAAGGCTTACTCAGCCCTGTAAGATCTTAAGTTGGTCTTACCAAGGCTGGCTCCTCCTTAGGAAAATTAATGAATAGAAAAGAGTAACAATAACCTACAAATATAAACACTTTATTGTTAGAATTGAAAATATAAAACATTTAAATATGAACTTTTATCCTACTTGAAAGAAAAATTAATAAAATGAAATGAAAAAATAATTCAATTCAATGCTAATATGTACAGTTAGACTGGGGTGTCCGGTTGATGTTGACACTGTGCTTTATAGAAATTGTAGCCATTGCTGATGATATGGGGGGTTCACAGCTGCTGAGTGACAACCCAACGACTAGATCGTCACAGAGTTTCTAGCCTTGAATAATCCGTCAAGATGATAGGAACGCAGGTCTTTCACCACTGCAAAGATGAGGGGTAGTTGCCTGGGGTTGGCTACACTCAGGTATGTAGATAAAAAGTGACATCCCAGAACTCGTGTGAAGTTCATCTCCTTCAATACTTTTTCTGTGGTTGCCAGATGACCCAAGCTGACATTCCAAGCTAGAAAGAGACAAAACTTAACCACTGCTTGAGAAATCACTCTTCATGATAAGTAAAGCATTTAAAAGATTGGTGAGGATTTAAATACAAAACCTGGAAATCAAGACAGAATTAACTAAGTTTTAGAATTGGTTAAAAGTGAAGCTTTTAAGCAATATGTCCACTAGAATAGGAGCAGAGGCTTTTACTTACAGTTGTGCTGAGAGCTGTGAGTCAAGTGATTATCCATTTGGTTGGAGCCCCACACGTCACCTTTCCGGGTAGAAAAAAGGAGGGGGGATAGCAGGAGCTAGACACTGAGCCTACCTTAACAAGCAGACTGGCAATCAAACTATCGTCACCATATACTCGCTCGCTACTCCTATCTGTTGAACTTTTCCCTCACAATCGGTTTAATTTTGCAGTCCCCACTAACATTACTACAGAACAAGAGTGTTAGCCTGTCTTTCATGGGCTTGTGTCCTGGTAATGATTTTTCTTCTTGTGTGATGTAGTTTCTCTTAGACATTCTTTTCCAAAAGAGGCCAGTTTCATCACAATTAAAAATTTGTTGAGGAAGATATCAGTGTCTACATAGGTTTTAAATTCCTTCACAAACTTTTCAGCCACATCTCTGTTAGCACTGGCAGTCTCCCCATGCCTTAATACACTATGAATCCCACTCCTCTTTTTAAACCTATCAAACCAGACCCTACTTGCCTGAAATTTGTTACTTTCAGCACCGTTTCCCAGGGTGTCTCGCCTAAGATCACTATATAACTGCTTCGCTTTTTCACAAATTATTGTTTCAGAAACACTGTCACCGGACAATTGTTATTCATAAATAACAAAAAGGCACAATACCGTGACTGGAACGATACACAAATAACCCGCACATAAAAGAGAGAAGCTTACGACGACGTTTCGGTCCGACTTGGACCATTGACAAAGTCACACTGTGACTTTGTCAATGGTCCAAGTCAGACCGAAACGTCGTCGTAAGCTTTTCTCTTTTATGTGCGGGTTATTTGTGAATTGTTATTCATTAATCCACATAAACAAAAGTTTTTCCATTTCTTCACTTATGTGACCTTTTCACAGCAAGAACTCCTTTCACAATATTACCTCACTTTTATTGCCCCCTATTTTTCAATATGGACAACATGGTAGATTTCGCCACACCATATTGAGTGGCCAGGTCCGAGACACGTTTCACTTAATTGTTGCTCTCACTGCTTTCCTTTTAGAATTGTTTGGATCACTGCTCTTTTTTTGGGCCATGATTACTTACTTTCAGTGAAAATACTTAAACACCCCATAATAACAATGAAATACTGAAAAGTTTCACAGAGCTTGTACAAACAGTGCTTAATGAATAAGAGCTGATGGGAGACTGAGCACGTGGTGCTTTGTTTTTGTTGGACTTTGTCCAGATGGATCATTCTGTTTAGGTTGAATATCAGGGCAATGTCCAAATACCAAGTGAAATTTTTCTCAAAAAAATTGGGCAAACATTGAGTTGTATGAATATAGAGATAAATAAACATTGAGGTTCCACTGTACTTTTTACAGGATGAGCTGCAAGCACACAATAAATTAGCCACTCAGGCAACACAACTAAAAAAAAAAAAAAAAAAGAAAGTTTAAGATTTAGTGTTCCAGTGTATGGCCCTGTCTCTGGATTATTCTGGACAAGAAATAAACCAACTCGTTATGGAGATCGTTATTTATCGACATATCAGCCATAATCTAATAATAAAACCTGGCAGGATTTGGTCGCTGGTTGCAACCTTACCACCAAGCAACCACCATCAACACAGACCAAGAATACCCAAATAGCTTTCATCATTTAGCCTAACCTAACCTAACAGAGGGAATGATGAAAGACTGGGTAGTAATGCATGGGTAAGTGTTGGTGATGAGGCAGTATCCTCTGACCAGTGTCCTAGCCATTCATTGCCACCAGTATGTTGTTCAGTGCATCATTATTATTATTTTTTTGCAGTATGTCTGATATGATGATGAAAACAATTTCCACAACAGATGAACATGTATCCTGCACAATCACTTTAATTTTGGACAATATTGATCAAATAATTGTGTCTGTTAAATAGTTTTATTATAAGAATATCTATTCAATTTAAAGAAATCTTTGTTAGTTGAGCTTATAAAATAATATATACTTGTTAAATTAAAAGAAATCCTTTTTAATATGAGACTTAGTATTTCAGTCAATAAATCACAAATAATCCACACACACAGGAGCCTTATAACAACCTTTTGGACTCTCCTGGACCATTGTCAAGTCACTTGACAATGGTCCAGGATGGACCTAAATGCCATCATAAGGTTCCTTTTAGTGCAGGCTATTTGTGAATTGTTCCAGTCACAGTACTGTGATTTTTTATATATTCTTTACTGTTGGCAACCATTAACACTCTAACTGTTTTGGTCGTATATATACGTCTTACGAGCCAGTGTTTCGGACGTATACATACTCAATAATTCTAGCAGCTACAAATCAAGCAGGAGAAAGCTGGTAGGCCCACATGTGAGAGAATGGGTCTATGTGGTCAGTGTGCACCACATAAAAAAATCCTGCAGCATGCAGTGCATAATAGGAAAATAAAAAATGACTGTTTTTTTTTGGATTCAAATGCCAATTTTGAGGTGTATTTTCGTATAGTATTTATCGTTGTATTCTCGTTTTTATGGTCTCACGTGATAAAATGGAAAACATATTGCAGAAATAGAGATGATTTTGATTAGTTTCACAATGAAAACGACCTTGAAATTGAGCTCAAAGTAGCGGAAATGTTCGATTTTTACCAAAGTTCGAGAATAAGTAAATCACACCACACGTTCAATAAACGTCAACTGGGGAGTCTAATATTCTTTCACTAGTGCACTGATATTATTTATATCATTTTTACAGTAATGCAGTAGTCTGCATAACAGTAAATTTTGTATTTTTTGTATGAATAAAAAATCAAAATAGAAAGTAATAATAATGTAAGAGAGGCCTAGAGACATGACTAAACAGAGGATATGTTATTTGAGTGCCAAGAATGTCTACATTGTTTATTCTGGACCCAATTTTGAAATTGGCATCTTTTTTAATTTGCTTGAAAATGGCCAAATTGCCAGTTTCTGACAACTTTATTGGGTAGTTCAAATCAGTAAATGGGCGGTTTCTTGTACTCAAATGATAGAAAAAATGGAGTTCTAAAGAAATAGCTATGAGTTTGTTCAACTGGAACAACAGAATTGGCTAAAAACAGGGCTCAACGTCGGCGAAATTGCCAATGCATATATGTCGCCGAGGCTGCTAACTTTACGGGAGCGCAATTCTGTGAGTTTTCGAACAGATTTCATACTTTTGGTGTCATTACCATCGGGAAAAGATTCTCTATCATAAGAAAAATAATTTTTTTTTCCAAAAATTTTGTGACAATGACAGTTTCAGAAAGGGGCTTGCGACAGTCAAAGGGTTAATGATCTTAGAGTTGAGCTTCAGTGTTTTGTCAATGATAGATGAACCTTTATAACTTCACTGTCAGATATATTTTATAGGTACGACTAGTCATCCTGCTATCTAAACAAACATACATGTACAGTACACTTGTGAAGATACCAAATATGCAACTGAGGCATTGTCCAAAAAATCCTTCCCAAAGGTTATGACAGAATTTATTTGAATTTATTTTGTGAACAGAATCATAATGGAAGTTATATCCCCTGAGGGTCTGCGTCAAGATGGAAGAACACCTCTTTGTCTGCGCACCATCAGTTGCAGATTAGGCCTTTATGACAGACCTAATGGCAGTGCTTATATTGAAATGGGCAATACAAAAGTTCTTGCAGCTGTATACGGACCTAGAGAGGTAAAATGTTTTGTTTTTGTTTTAATTACTTCTGAGGAGAGTATATTTCATTGTCCATCCCTGTCCCTTCTCAAGAATTCTCCTTCAAGGACTGGCCATTGCTTAAAAGCATCTAAGCAGCTGTATCTAAACATGAACCTGTATCTTGGGAGACCCCAGCCACAAGTTCTTTTGAACATTAATTATTAAATCATGTCTCATATTTTAATGAGTAGATTTAATTTAATCTCTAATTGTTGGTGAATTACAGTCGAATATAGCTTAGTATCTCAAAAAAAGCTCAGGATGTTGATAACTAAGTGACAGGTTACAAATATAAAAATTGTTAATGAATAGCATATAAAGTTTTCGTTTTCTTGTTTTTAGTACTTTATACAGAAGAAGGGGATACTAGCTTATTTCTCCTGGCATTTTAGTCACCTCCTATGACATGCATAGCTTATGGAGGGAGAATTATGTTCCACTTCCCCATGGAACTTGTGACCGTGTTAGATAGGAGCAAATGGAGACACTTGGATTTTAGGACTTGACATGCAATTGGAGTGTAAGCAAGGTAACATTAGTGAAGGGATTCGGGGAAACTGGCAGGCTGAACTTGATTCCTGGAGATGGGAAGTACAGTGCTGGCACTCTGAGGTAGGGGTGTTAAGGTTGCGGTTTTATAACTGTAGTGTGCGCATGCCTCTGGCAAGACAGTGATGGAGTGAATGATGAAAGTTTTTCTTTTTCGGGCCACCCTGCCTTGGTGGGAAATGGCCGATGTTTTTTTTTTATTATTATCACGCTGGCCGATTCCCACCAAGGCAGGGTGGCCCGAAAAAGAAAAACTTTCACCATCATTCACTCCATCACTGTCTTGCCAGAAGGGTGCTTTACACTACAGTTTTTAAACTGCAACATTAATCAGTGTCTATAAAAATTATTAGAAAATTATAGAAGATATATGCAATATTACGTATATTATATTAACACAAATGGCCGATGTGTTAATATAATATACGTAATATTGCATATATCTTCTATAATTTTCTAATAATTTTTATAGACACTGATTAATAAACACAATTCTGAAAATATATTGACATTTGGTTACTTCAGGTGAGAAGTATCAGTAAGCAACAACTGGATGAGTGTGTTATCCAGTGCGAGATGAGCCGCATTGCTGCCAGCCAGGGAGAACGGGTCAAACGCCCGAGAGATCAGAAAACCCGGGCAACTGGTCAACAAATTGCTGGTGTGTTCCATGCTGCAATACGAAAAAGCAAGTACCCTGGGTCACAGATTGACATTTTTGTTCAGGTAAGATTTCATGACATAGAAGTGTTTTCAAAATTACTGTACAGATAGATAATATTTTGCAAAATTAATGTTCTCTCTTTCACATAGTATAAAGTAGGTTTCCCTTGCTTTCTGCTCTTTTTGCTTTATGCAAATTTGCTTTTATGCATTGACCCCATTTCTGTCAGTAATTCAATATATGTAGTATATGAAAGAAATAGCTTGGTGTTAGGCAGTGGTAGTATGGTTGCATACTCTGCAAATTACAGTCAGTTAAGTCTGCAAGAACATCTAGTATTGCCTAACTACAAAACTGTAATGTACAATATTTTATTATTGCAATTATTGATAGGAATCATGTAGTAGTAGTACCATTATTTTAGTTTGGTTATCTGGAAATACATTCTTTTACTTAATACTTCATTATTTTATTGTGTAATCTTCATTATTTTTATATAAAATTCTCAATAGGATTACAACCTCGCATTATTATTGTTTCCTACGTTATATTATTATGCTGTATTACATTGTATAATGTATTTTATACTGTTTTGGTATATAATCTCAGTCAGCATTACTACCTCACAGTACAGTGGACCCCTGGTTTACGATATTATTTCATTCCAGAAGTATGTTCAGGTGCCAGTACTGACCGAATTTGTTCCCATAAGGAATATTGTGAATTAGATTAGTCCATTTCAGACCCCCAAACATACACATACAAACGCACTTACATAAATACACTTACATAATTGGTCGCATTGGGAGCTAATCGTAAACCAGGGGTCCACTGTATTCCCAGTTTTATTACCACCTATACTGAGTTTATAATGCAGTTAAGAATTGGAGAGTTGAATCAGATTTGGTTTTCACAGGTTATCACATGGACGCTAATATCCCAGTTTCTTTTAATAAATGTGGCAAGTTAGGACATATACAGCCCTAAACTAAGTCAAACCTTCCACTAAGAAACACCAGTTGTGAAGCCAAACAAAACACAAATTCTCTGTTGTCTCAGAGGGACCTATATCCTGAAATCCACCAGCACAGTAACTTTGAAGTCAGTCAGAATTTGAATTATCAAACTATCAGGGCTGAATGATAAAGGCAATTACACAAGGCACTGGGAAATTGTTACATGAAAATCAGTACATTGGAACCTCGGTTTTTGTATGCCCTTGTTTGTATGTAAAACTATAGTTATAGTTATTCTTTATAAAATGCATTTTTTGTTAGTATTTTTTCATGTCTAGAATGGATTAATTGGATTTACATTATTTCTTGTGGAAAATATTAACAAAAAATACATTTTATGGAGAATAACTCTAGTTTTACATACAAACTAGAGCATACGAAAACCTAGGTTCCATTGTATTTCAATTTTACCAGTTTCTTCTATAGAGGCAAATGGGAACAAACTCAGGCTACAATAAATCTAAACTTTTCTCTAAATAATATTTACCAGCATTTAAGGTTTAAGTATGTAAGTACTGTAATTAAGATTTATTAACCCTTGGACTGTTTTGGCCGTATATATACGTCTTACAAGCCAGTGCTTCGGACGTATGCATACTCAATAATTCTAGCCGCTTCAGATCAAGCAGGAGAAAGCTGGTAGGTCCACATGTGAGAGAATGGGTCTGTGTGGTCAGTGTGCACTGACCACACAGCGTGCAGTGCATAATGAGAGAAAAAAAAAAAAACTCCGACTGTGTTTTTGGATTAAAACATAGGTGTATTTTCCTATAGTATTTATGGTTGTATTCTTGTTTTCTTGGTCTCATTTGATAGAATGGAAAACATATTACAGAAGTAGAGATGATTTTGATTAGTTTCACGATGAAAATGACCTTGAAATTGAGCTCAATGTAGCGGAAATGTTCGATTTTTACCAATGTTCAAGAGTAAGCAAATCACACCACATGTCCAATACACGTCAACTGGGGAGTCAAATATTCTTTCACTAGTGCACTGATATTATTTATACCATTTTTACAGGAATGCAGTAGTCTGCATAACAGTAAATCTTCTATTTTTTGTGTGAATAAAAATTGAAATAGAAAGCAAGAGTAATATAAGAGGGGCCTGGAGACTTGACTAATGAACAGAGGATATGTTATTTTAGTGCCAAGAATGTCTGCATTGTTTATTCTGGAACCCATTTTGAAATTTGCATCTCTTTTTAACCCTTAAATGGTCCAAACGTATATATACATTCTTACGCATAGCTCCCCAAACATATATATTTTATTTTTCCTGTCTTCAAATTTGGCACGATTGGCCTGAGATGCCTTGTCAGCATAAAATGGGTCCTAACACTCAGTGTGCATGGCATTAAAAAAATCTGGGACCACTTAGTACCCTGTGGGAGCGCCAGTTAAATTGAGCGCCAGCTAGAGTAAACAGTGCGGCAAACACCAAGAATTCACTGTTGTAATGTCATATTAACACTCCTCTTTTAACCCTTTGAGGGTTTTGGTCGTACTAGTACGTCTTACGCGTAGGGGTTTTTGACGTACTAGTACGCATAAATTCTAGCGGCCTCAAATCTCGCGCGAAAAGGCTGGTAGGCCTAGGTGTGAGAGAATGGGTCTGCGTGGTCGGTGTGCGCGGTAGAAAAAAAATCTGGGACCCAGTGGTGCATTGTGGGAATGCCCTCTTAGTAAACAATGTCCACCATGCCTCGCGGTAAGAAGGTCCTCACTCCTCGGCGAATTGGGACACTTTTGTTCCCCAGTGACAGTTCTAATAGTGAGGAAGTGCCAGTGGAAGATGAGTTTCGGGGTTTTAGTGAGGTTTTGACCGAAACTAATGACCATAATATCGGTAATAGTGAGGAAAACCCAGACGACCCTCAGCCTTTCCACCTCTGGTGCTGGGCCCTCCTTGTTCACGTTCAGTTTTTTCCCAGAACCCAAGAGGAAACTTCTATTTTCCCAAATCCCAGACTCAGATAGAGTATGGGTGATGATAGTGATAGTGAATATGAACTACAAGCTCTTCAAACAATTTTCCAGTAGTGATAGTGAAGGCAATATTCCCCAGTGAAGCGTCAGTATATACGACGATATATGCGCTCCCGGTAGTGTGCCATATGTTATACCCAAGGGGAAGGAATGTATCTCGGAGTACATCCCGTGGCTGTACAACAGGAACAGACAGTGAAAATGACGAAGATACGTTGCAATTGGGATGGAAAATGTCGTGGTGGTAGTGGTGCCGGCGGTGAGGCACCAGCAGTGGGCCATGCTGCCACCCACGCTGCCCACCCACGCCGCTGCCTCAGCTGATCTAGAACAAAGGCCACCAAACCCCCCCTCCCCCACCACACCAGCCTCCACAACCAAAAACCTCCACAACCACAACCACCTGTCATTGTCCAGCACCCACCAGCAGACGCACCTGGGATTGGCAGGAAGCTTTTCAATTTGTTTCAAATCCCCACCAGTTTTGATGACAGCCAAAGTGGAATACGCCATCTGTGCCTTGGGAACAATGCCACTGAACTGGAATGTTTCGAGTTATTCTTTGACGAACCAATGATGAAAAGTATTGTCATGGAAGCAACACATACTACGAGTACACCATGGCAAACACATTACTTTCACCCAAAATCACGTCTACACCAGTGGAAGGAGGCAACTGTGGGGGTGAGATGTAATCTTTTCTTTGCCACAATAATGCTTATGCCACATGTGTATAAGCCAAAGTGAAATCATACTGGTCAACAGACCCCCTGATTGCAACACCAGGTTCAGTGATATAATGCCAGTGAATCGATTTGTGCTAATGTTCGTATGCTTTACTTCTCAGATAAAACCAGGCCTGACAGAACTGACAGATTATATAAGATTAGGAATGTGTTTGTGTATCTGAAACAGAAATTCAGTACGCATTTTTTTCCCTTCAGGGAAACTTGTAATTGACGAGTCTTTGATTCTGTTCAAAGGAAGACTCTCTTTCAAGCAGTACATACCAAGCAAGAGGAAATGCTTTGGTATAAAGTTGTTTTAGTGCTTTGTGATTGTTACAGTGGTCGGGATTGAATTATTGTGTACACTAAGTTATACATGCAAAATACAGGGTTTGATTTTAAGTGAGGGGGAAAAAGTTTTGAAATAACGTTAAGGAAAAATTTTCCCCCCCAAAATTTTAAAAAAAAATTAATCCGTGAAAACCCCCAAAAAAAAAAAATTTTTTCCCCCATGTGAATTTAAAAAACCAAATGAAAAGGCATCCCAAATGAACTTCTTTTAATTTAAAACTGGGAAATTTTTGGGATGGGAAGGGGAAGTTTTTCTTCTTACTTTTTTGAAGGGAATCCCCCAATTTGAGAGAGAAGCCCTTTTTTTTACCCCCCCA